GTGTGGTTGAGCTGACGGTGTAGAGAGACCACCTGAGGTGGACAAGAGATAGAGAAGCAAGCCAAATAACCACTGTGTACGTGATTCTGGAAGAAAAGTGTGGAAAAAGAGACCTTTGTGTTGAGTGACAACTGATGAAGGGGTGATGCAGCTGACAAAGGAATTATCTGGTTTAGTTGGTTTTGTCTGTGGTCAGGAAAAAACAACCTACAGATCTTCTTAAAGAAAAATGCAGGAGAGGTCCTAGCCCTTACGCCCATTTTCTCTTTGAACTGCTACAACTCGCCGTTGTTATCCTTTGCTTTTGCTGCTTGTTCCTAAGTAATGCCATGACATAGGTCAGTCTCTCTGTTGAATGGACTGAACCATAGACTTGGCTTAAGATACTATCTTGTTTATTTACAGCAATGACAGATGGGTATGGATTGGAATGAATAAGAGGAGTCCAGATTCTTTGGGAACTTGGCAGTGGAGTGATGATAAACCTGTAAGTTAACTTTTAATCGTGAAATGTCATGTCCTGATTTGTTTCAGCTTGGACGGGGTTGAAAGTAAATTGATAAATATTTTAATTAAAATATGGCAGATCCTTCAACAGATGAATAATTCAGAGGAAGATTGTGCACTTGGGAGCTGCCATCCAGGCAGATTTCCAATCAAAAACAAATCTTTAATAAGGCTAACCTGATTTCTGTCTCTATTGCATTAAAATATTGTAACAGCAATATAGTAGTAATCATTTAAGAGCTGGTAGAAAGAACAAGATGTCTTCATTCCACAACAGAGGGTAGGGTTTATCAGTTCATCTGCTTGATGTGACAGACTTCTCCAAAAATACCTTTCTCACTGTAGTTGATTTATTTGTCTGACGTGTTGCGAGTTCATTCCCTCCACCCCATCCCCATAATAGCGGTACACAGACTCAGAACTGATCCAGTAACTGCCAGTTAACACATATTTTAATAGTGATAAACATAATGGGGTCTCAGGTTTGCATGGTTATCTCTGGATTACCATAGCAAAAATAGTTGTAAAGTAATGATTCTTTCATCCTGCCCATCCTGTAGGTAACTAGCGTTGTAATGCCACTGGATTACCTGGAAGATGAATATGATACAAGAGACTGTGCTGCATTAAAGGTTAGTTTCAAGGTTTTTAATAACAGCATGCGTATTTTTTACATGGAAGTAGTTGGAAAAAAAAGCTTTTGCCAACCATATATTGAATTTAGGTTGACTGCTGAGATGTTTCCTTTGCATAGTGAAAAAGTTACTAGTGTTGCCCTTACCAATCTGCACCTGTTAGTATATTTGAGCAGGTTTTTTGTATTAACCCAGCACTGCAGTAATGATAACCTTTCATAAGACCTCCTTTGAACTACAGAATATTTTAGTAACAATGCTATTCTCTATCGCATAATGCCACACTATTTATCTCTTGTATATTACATACAACACTTAAGGATATAATGTGGATTCTAAAACCAAAAAAGCAAACAAAGCCCTACCAGTTACCTCTAAAACCTAGTTTAGTTTTCCTGAACTGCAAATTAAGATACTGTTTGAAACCTGAAGTAGCCAGGATAGAGTGTGTGTTTGTGTTTGTTGTGTGTATTTTCTTGTTTAATTGTGTACTAGACTGTGAGTGCTGTGTCAGTGTCTAATTCTAATTGTCAGGCCTCTGCTTAGTTCCTAATTATGTTCTTCATTGCTTAATTTAGTCTTGATGACTTGAGTTTTAAAATGGCCTTTAACTTCTGAAGCATCACCTTATTTTTAATAAGATCATTCTAGCGACATCCCTTCTTTTAACGTGGTTAGAACCACCTCTGCTTTTAGAATTTACTGAAGGAAAGGGTCATTGCATCCCTTTGCTTCTGTTCACAGCCATTTCCCCTCATTCTCTTCTCTTGCGTTCATGACCCCAGGCCAAGAAGCTCTCAGCATTAAGCTCCTAAAAATTTTAGACAAGAGGAGAGCAGTTTGAAGGGGACACTATGAATTTAGTAACCTCCTTCCCCTACCTGCTAGGTATAGACATTTCCTTTCAGTAAACAGTAAAAGATTCTTCTTATTGGAGAGATCAGCAAGAGTGAAGTCAGATTTTAAGCTTGCTTGTAAGAAGTAATTTTAAACAAGGAAGATAATTTCTGTGCCAGTTCAAGTGGTTGCTTCTTTTGAGCTAAAACTAGAATCATTTCAGGGCAACAAGTTGCAACTGATAATTGAATAATAAGCATTTATGAGATCCCGTGAGCTGCTAAATGGCAAAGAAACAGCATTGTGAGAAGAGACTTTTGCATGTAGGCTGACCTCGAGGCCTTTACCTGCTTGCTTCACAAACGTGGCTAGTGTGGAGGGTTATAGCTGCACAGTTGCAGTTGTATCTGCTCATTTTCTGGAAAATAAGCTGTGGGACTAATACCACAGTGAAACATACTGACTTTGCCAAAGTACCTTTTTAATACAGTTTCATGTCACATTTCAGAGGCCTGTACCACACTAACTCAGTTCTTCTGCTGCTTTTATGCAGACCTCTCAGTTTTCACGGAGGTCGTTTTGGAGATTGTATTTCCATGAAGGCAGAGACCTGGAATTTTACTTTAAGCCTTTTGATTGCGACGCTAAACTCGAATGGGTCTGCCAGATAACAAAAGGTAAACTGCAGTTACATCCATTTATTCCTAGAAAAGATTTCGTTATTTATTTCCACTGAGTTGTCATTATTGTCCAAGAGCAGAAACTTTGCAAACGATGTTTTATGATTTCCCTTCTGAACTCCTCTTAAGAGGTCAGTACATGAGATGATTCACCTGTGTCACATACAAACAGACATGCACTTAGACTATTCAGAGATCTATCAGAAAATGACCACGAGGAGGATGCAGTATTACTGCACCCATATGCTTTCTTGTCCCATGAAGTGAGAAGTGGCTTTTTATTCGGTGAGTCGATATAAGCCACTGAGTTGCAGCATTTGTGGAGTTTACCTAATCTTTCTTAGTGATATTTGTAACTAAGTGACCACAGACATCTTGGGTGTACAGTGTGTATCAACCTTAGGAGAATTAACCTTCTTCTGGTCAAACCGGTGTATTAGATCCTCATTGTAGTGAGACAGAGTGGGAATTCAAAAGAATGGCGTGGCATATCTGCACACATCCAGGTTTTTCCGTGTAGTATGAAAAGTGCTGTATAATCCAGTAGGCTTTTAGGTGTTGGTTGTTCATTAAAAAGCATTTCAGGGGATGAAACTTTTTGTTGTGGGGATATGGGTAGCTATACTACTTTGATGCCTGTATTGTGCTTGGGAGAAAAGAGGCACAGTTGTTTAGGACCAAGGTATGCAAAACTCCCATTAGTTTTACATCAGCTTATCTTAAATTATTAAACCTGTGTAATTAAACCTGTGATTTCCTTCTCCTTTTACTTTTTCCATCATACATACTGAGAATCATGAGTGCAATTATTGATGACCAGAGTCTTGTTAGAAGGTGAACTTGAAGTGACTGTTCCTTCTTTTCCTCTGTACAGGTAGCACTCCAAAGACACCTGAGTGGTACATACCAGGTAAATGGACTTTTTGCATAGTTCTGCTATGTGTGTATAGTTGTCAATACTCTATATTTTTTATTAGTTTAGGTATATTACTACCATAATACCTGTTTGATAAGGGCAAAGGTCAGTCAGCTCTTCCCAGGGTCAGACTGAAATTTCTTATTACATTCAGAAAAAGAAAGGATGATTTTTTTTTTTCAGAAGTTATTTCTTATGCATGTGATATTTCTTCTGCATAGATGAAATTGGAATTCATGGAGCCCCTCTTGTTGTTGATGGAGCGGAGCTGTGGTTTGTACCAGATAAAAACCTGAGCTTCCAGGAAGCTATTTTCTACTGTCAACAGAATGATAGTGATTTAGCCACTGTGGAATCTTACCCAAAACTGAGGACAATACTATCACAAATAGAAAAGGTAAGGGGGTGTAATCTGTCTAAAAGTTACTTTCCTCTATAGGGAAATATTTTGCCCTTTTTTCCAATATAATAAAATGCAACTCTTTAATTTCTTTCATTTTTCCTGTTGACCTTAATAGTTTTTAATTGTACTTAAAAGGAAAAGATGAGTTGAAAGAGGATTATTTTAATGTCAGTCTTGCAAAAGGATTTTTTAAATGTAAAAGTAGCTTTAACAACATGGAAAAAACCCAAACACCTCCAAATGGAGAGAAGGTGTCATCACAGCACCACCACGTGAGCATCTCATTGTCTGCAAATACTTCACTGACAGCTGTGCCAGTTCTTGGTTTTATGCACGGGACAACGCATCATTTTTCATCTGATGCGAGAATTTCCTTAGAAATGCATGATAGTCTGGTAGCCTTTACTGAAGGAGGTTTGTGCTTTTCATAGCACGAGAGTACATTCTTGTAAGGATTCTTAGCAGAACATACCAAGTTTTAGCACCTCTGTTACTACCTTTCTCCAGTGCTAGTGCCTGTGAGATAGTACTTGCTGAAATTAGCAGCTTGCAAGCTCTCCTCATGAAATTTCTCTTGACAAGAAGTTACCTGGAAGGAGAAATTACAAGGCAGGAGGAATTGAGGATTTGACTGGAAATCTCCAGCCTTTTCATGAACTGTTTGATGTTGGGGTATCTGCTGGGAGAACAGGATCGTTCTGAGGATGGAAGGAGGGGCCTGCGGAACCACATCAGCTTCAGCAGCTTGCAGCTATGTCCTGGTTGTCCCATGGAGTTCCTGCTATGAATTTAGTGGGAATGATGTATCTAGCATGCACTTAGGACAGTGCTGCAAGATTTCCTTTGTCCAGCACAGTGGAAAACGTCGGCTTTTTTTCCTAGTAGGTGCAGTGGTCCATCTACTTGGCGTATCAGCATTGAACTTTATCCTTTCCTATCACTGAAGAATAGTAATTCCTGCACATTTTAGAGACATTTAAAGTCAAAATTAGTTTTGTCGTTGATTTATCCTTGGTACAGTCTGGAGATCTGTCTCTGTGGGTTGTAAAATACTGGGTTTTTTGTTCTTTATTTCCACAGTTATCGAACAGCGAACAGAAGTGGTGGCTGAAGTTTATTGATTATGGCTACAGCTATCATTCACCGTATGTAGAATAACTACAGGATGCTTAATTATAAGCTTTTTTAATGCGCTTTTTAGGAATATAGTTAATTAGAATAGTTTCCAGAGGAAAATATTTTATCCCCAGATTTGTAAAAGGTTATTTCTTCCATATCATCCCAAAGAAGTAAGATAAAAGAAATTGAACTAAGCTAGAAAACAATACGGCATTTTTCAGTGACCACTGTTCTCTATTTTTATTCACGTGTACTTGCACCTACTCTTGCCTTGCTAAACTTAGACCATAAAGTACCAAAACCAGGAAAAACTCAGACAAAGCAAAAAGTGGTTAAGACTGTGTGTACGATTAGGAAGTGGGTATATTTCAAAATATTGTTGCACTATTTTAATTAGCTGCCAAGATTCTAAGTTATATTTCCATTACAAGTGTTACTGACATAAAAAAATTAATTCATAATAATTTAATACTAACTGAATTCATTATCTGTCTGTCGGAACCTCCGGATTTCAGGTTATTGGGCTTTGACATCTTAGTCTTGTCATATGAATCCTTGTGGTCCCGTTAGATAACTGGTCTTTAAAATGCTTTTACTGGATTTTTAAGTCCACTTCTGTGTTCTATTAATAATTGGGGAACTGAATAAAAAGCAGCCTCTGAAAAAAACCCTGTGTATGGACTCTGAGCATATCTCAGAAATACCTGAGAAGAGGGAGTGTGAAATTGTTTTAAGACATCACTCTTCCAGTTAGGTAATGCCATAGTCTGGAAAAGTTTATAGTATACCACTGCAGAGCTGAGATGCCTCACAGCAAACCTTGAGTCTTGACGCTTCACTGCAGCCATGAACAGCATGGGCTTCTTGCAGGGAAACTTTTTCACTTGCCAAAATGGTACAGCAATACACTGCTCTAAGTAAAACAGGGGCTATTGCCCATTCTCCTTGCTTGTCTTGACAATGAGCCAATGACTGCAGCATGGTGATAAATAACTTCCTACCCTCGTTCTGCCCATCTCCTCTGCAAAGTGGATTTAGGCACGGCACGTAACTACTGAACCTACCACATGTATGTTCCTAGCCTAGTTTTTCCCCACTCTGTCCTTTCCAGTGTTGTAGGGCATCTCCTAGAAACAGTTACCAGCCAGAATTTTTGCTTGTACTGGCTCTGTTGCCATCAGAGTTTCCACTTGAAGATCGCATTGGGTTGAAGATTGACTCTGAACTGTTTGTATTCAGTTTACAGTTATTTTCACGCTTCCATGATCGATTCCTGAGGGATTGCTGGTATGTTTCTAGAAAGAACTGGTATAGAGGTAAGGTGGTTTTATTTTTTCACCCCTCTCTGTCATTATTATTTTAGTTTTTTTAAAAAAAGTAATTACTGTTCTGCCCAAACTCTGATATTGAATGCAAATTGGTATTGAATTAGGAGTGAATGGCTTCTTGATGATAATAATGAATTGTTATCATTTATTTCTTCCTTATGGTGTGGGGGTTGGCCTGGATGGTGTTCAGAGATCCCTTCCAACCCCCACCATTCTGGGATGCTGTGGATGTTAAAGGATTCCTGTTTGCTTTAATGATCATTAGGTTACGCTTGCTCTTTTCCAAAATACAAGATTAGTCCTCCTATTCAGAATCTCATTTCATGATTTTTCTGTGTGAAGCTATCTCTGCCTATGTGAAGTCTTACTACTGGAAGGAAGGATCCAGAGCCTGATCCCTTTGGAATCCTATATTACTGTCTGATACAAATAATTTACATTTATCTTTTAATGCTTTGGATTGCATAGCGCTTCACCGAAGTTGCACTGGAAAAGACTTTGCTTCAGATAGGTCTTTGTCATGTCATAAAGAATGGATGGCGATTGGAGTGTGATAGGCATTACCATAACTGTTTGTTTTTTAAAACTTACGTTTCCACAGACTACCCAGTTAACTGTAACGTGAAACTGCCCTTCATCTGTGAAAAAAATAATGCCTCCTTACTAGAGAAACACGATCCCAGTTACCGCCCAGGCAGAGGAGGTTGCCCAAAAGGCTGGCATCGGTTTCGGAACAAGGTACAGAGATAATACAGATCAGTCATCTTTACCTTTTTTTCATACTGCAGTAAGATAGAGTGCTCTGCTGAAAGAGGTGAGGGAGTAGCCCCTGTGTTCAGGAATGGCCTGGGAGGTGGCTGCTGAAAACTATGGGCAGGAATTAAAATCATCTCCCCCAGTTCTCTGTCCCTTTTTCAGGATTGATGGTTTCTTAGTGTCAGAGCTTTCAAAAACTTTCAGGTTTTTTGCTTTCCTGTCGCCACATGTTTAGGTCCAAGAACGTTGGTTGTATTGTCTTATCTTGGGCTCTGCTTTGAAGGAAGAGGAGGATTAGAAAGCGAGAGGATGAGGTTTCAGTGGCAGAAACATCTCGATTCTCTTGCCGAGTAATCACAGGCAGGCTTCAGCCTGGCAGACGCTCTGCTTCCTAAGTAGCCTGAAGGACTTAAGTGAATTAAGAATTAGAAGCAGCTTTTAGGGATGAACTAACAGAGCTCAGAAGCCATAGTATAGTACATCTCAGTACAATGTTTTGAGGCAGTCCTCTAAAGTCTCAGTGAGACCTGTTCTTGTTCTTTGGCCTGCTGTTATTCTGTGCCTAAGAAGGAGCGTGCATCAAATGGGCACATTATGTTGTGCCAAGGTTTGCAAATTTACCTGGCATCACTGCAGAATGTAGCTTTTGAGTTCCCATGTAGTTTCTCCCAGAAAGTAATGTGTTACAGTACAGGTTCCTGGCCTAACCCTGTCTGACTTTAGATTTTGTGTATGAATGATTTCTCATTCTTAAAACAGTACGTGATGCAATGTGGCCAATTCAAAACTAATGAATTCTAATCCTCAGTGAATGAGGAGTTACTTAGTGGGATTAGTCATAGTTTTATATTTAGCTATTCTGGTGAATCTAATAAGAAATGCATGCAGCTAGCATCAGTTCCCTTGCTTTCTGAGGAAAAAGATATATTTTATTGCAGGAAATGAGAAGTGAGTTTTCAGGGTTGGCTTAAGAACCTTTTCTTATGAGTTATTTCTAAGTAAGCAATGGTATGATGAAAACCTGTTTCATTATGTTTATTTTGCAGTGTTTTCTAAGGATGAAACCCGACTATTTAACATTTAATGCAGCTAATGAAAAGTGTGTAACTTTCGGAGGCTTTCTTCCATCTATCTCAAATCAAGCTGAGCAAGGTATGATGGTGAACTGGGGGCATTTTTAGTATGCAGCTTCTCTTCTAAATTCAGTATAGTTCTGCTTAAGAACTTGCGCATAAAGCCACTTGGTTATCTACAGGCATACTGGGAGCATTCTAAAAATCCAAGACCTGTTAAAAATGTGTTGTCTGTTGTTGTTTGCATCACTGAAAACGTAACGTGGAAATACAGTCAGCGAACCTGTGAGCCATTCTGAAGAGCAGCTTCTCTGTATGATCATATCCTGTTATAAAAAGAAAAACATTGTAAAACCTTGCATGAAGAGTTGAGGATAGAAGGGTCACCGTTGAATGAAGAAATCCCATGTTTTGCTTTGCAAGGTAGAACATAACTGAGACTGTAGACTTTGCACTGTGAAAACCACCATAGGAGCTGCTTCCAAGACAAGCTCGGCTGTCTATGTGGGGATGAGATGGCAAACACAATGCCTGCTGGAGCACACAGGGCTCTGTTTCTAAGTGTGCTGAGCAGCTTAACAGGACAGTGTGTCCAAGCTGACCACCTACAAGCTCTCCAGGACACTGATAGGAGGACGGAAGGCAAAGGGGCTGCAAAACACAGAGCTGTTCCACCTCTGGGACCTGCGTCAGCTGTCATATAAACTAGAGTCGTGGAGCTGAATGCAGTGAGGAAGGGTTGTGTTCACATTGGCCTCAAGTGACGTTCAGTGATAAACTGCTGAATGAGACAGTTGTGTTTGCATCTGTATTATAGTGGCTAACTAACAGTTCTCTGCAGGTATCTCTGAAGTAGCTTATTTGAATTCTGCAATTTGCACAGTGCATATTTTCTTTATAAGCAAGTGACCTCTGGCCAAATGGAACATGGGAGGTAGAGCAGGGAGGTCACTAGGGTACCTACAGGCAGCAGCTGCATGGTAATATTTTTTATTTACTGCAGTTACTGGGGTTGAATAGGGTTGTAACTGTACAGGGATACACATCCTAGACCTGCACGTTTGCAAAAGCACAGCCACTCTGAAATCTTACGTAGCATGATCTTTTGTAGTAGAGGCCACCTATATGAAAAGAAGGCACAGTCCTCTTACAGAAGCATGCCTTTTTCTGTGGGCTGCTTCTACTCTTCCCAGTGACATTAGGCAGCTGGCTAGCTCTGACATGTAAATCTTCAGTGGCTTGTCTAGCTCAGAAAATAGGCTGAGGCTGGACTGGCTTGTGGCCCATAGTTAAGACATGTCGGCACTAGCTAATTACATGGCTTCATTTTGTCTTCTGAATCTGGACAAGCTCAGTGAATGCCTTTGGTGCGTGTGGGGCTACTGAAGCCTGTTGTTTTGTGCCAGAGTGCTCACTAAGAGGGGTCTGATTTGAAGTTTTCCTGGCTGCAGTTTTTTCCAGCTAAACCCGCGTTCCTTTGTCCTGTCCTGCTTTCTCTGATGGTGTGGTCAGCAAACTCTGCCAGAATCCAAGCAATGGTTCTGCTTTATGGCATAGGGCAGTAGGAGAGGAAGATGGGAGATAAAGAGTTCCTCCATCAATTCAGAGAGGGCAGGAGGGAACTCTTCTGTTATCTCTGCAGGGAGGCAATAGAAGATCTTGCGGACTTGTGGAAAAGCAGCTTCAGAAATGCAAATATAAGTGCGAGAATACAAAGCAGTGGGCAGAGAAACAGGTTAGATCCACTACCTGCTCCTCAGCTGAGAATTTGGAGGACAAACACCAATAGTCTGCTCCTTTCAGATAAAATCAACATGAAAGGTGTTACCTTATGGAAGGAAGGGTTGATAAGCGTTTGGCAATTATAAAGGGCTGGGAAAACTGAGTTAATACAAACAAGGGTTGCATTACCTTATTTATGTGAAGTGTTCTTTTAAGATGTTCGCTGCTGTTGTCTGAACCACACTATGTACATTTACTGCTCTGCCCAACAGATTATATCACGTCCTTGCTTCCTGGTATGCCGAAAGATATCTGGATTGGTTTGCAGTTCCTGTTCAGCACAAGGGAGAACAAATGGATAGATGAGAGCAGACTGTTGTATAGTAACTTCCACCCGCTCCTGACAGGAAGATTAAGGAAAATTCCACTGGACGTAAGTTCTGACTTCTCTTGACTGCTGAGTAATGAAATTTGGAACATTGACTGTATTTTTTTTTTTTAAAGCAAAAAAAAAAGTACGTAACAGACCAAATCCCCCCGTTAGTGGTATTAATTGGCAAACAAGGTGACTGTCAGTAATGGAGTTCTGTTTATTTGGATGACAACTTCTGAACGGAGATATGAAACACTGAAAGGTGAAGAGAAAAAGCTGAAACAACTGTTCAGTGACTCTTCTGGGACTTCGGTTTGCAATTTAAAATTTGCATGAAAACTCTCATCAAAAAGGTGTCCTCAATAATTCTTGGTTCAGTTGCACTTATAAACCATTATACTTTGAAATTTTGCTCATGGCTCCACCCAAGGTGAAGCATAATAAATGTGATCGAAACACACCCACAAACAAGATGTATTTTAAGCATAGAATCATGGAATGCTTTGGGTTGGAAGGGACCTTTAGAAGTCATCTAGTTCAACCCCCCTGCAGTGAGCAGGGATAGTTAATTTAATATTCTCTCCCATGTTTCACTTACGAATTCTTTTTGAGTCCAGTCACCTGGTAGTGTTTGTAAAATAGCTAAGCTGTATTGCACCACTCCTTTGAAACTTCTTAAACAAGTTCAGACAGCTCGGATTCTCCTGGCCTCATATTGCTTCACCTTCTCGACACAAGTTTGTTTATGCCTTGTTTGAGCCTGATAAACATATTTCTGTTTTTCAGCTTTTTGATGAAGAATTTAACAATCAGTGTGGTGTAATCCTCAATGACCCCAAGTCACAGTACGTTGGAACATGGAATTTCACTGCTTGTGCTGACAAGCACTTCTTGGGTATATGCCAGCAGCCTATAGGTAAGTCTGAAGAGTCAAAATAAATTGCAGGCGTGTGCCAGAAGACCTTTTATTGCATGTAAATTGTTGCACTTGAAGAGCAAGATTCTTGTAGAGGCTGAGCAGGTAGATTTTGGAAAAGAATGTGGAGGATGATCTGGGACCTATTTTATCGGTCATTCAGAATCTTCCCTTTTGGTTTTCATATCCTGGTTCATCAGGAATGTGTTTTCCTGAGAGACTCTGTGGTTTCAGTGGAACCACACTTCAGCAGATGGAGCCTTAATGTTTTGTGGGTATAGAGGTCGTGTACATCGAGGGGTGGAACAAGGGACTCCTTTTTCCTCTTCAGAAATGTGGAAGCACTAAGAGCTGGGCAGGAGTCTCACAATATTTTCATCCTCCTTAAACATATTCTGATAGTGCTGAAAACCAAATAATATGAGGTATCGTGTGCTCTTAACATTGAAATTGGTCTCCCCAGAGCAAACCTTGAGGGCATACATAGAGAGTGATAATTTGGAGTGATGCAGCTGTCCCTAGCTTCATACAGATCCATTGGCATGAGTGGGTTTTCTTAATCTGAACTAAAAGTAATATTTTGATGTAGCCACGTGGGTTGGTCAACACCTATTCCTGGAACTGGATCAAACGCATATAGCTGTTACATGCATTTAATTACTGCTATGGTCTAGTGTTCAGCATACCCACTTCTGAGTATGTTCTTCTGTGTAAATAATAATTTTAAGTCATTAACATACTATCTTCAAAAAAAAAAAAAGAGAACCAAAACAGGTGTGCAAAGCACGCAGGAATATGCCCGCCGCCTTAATTTTCAAATAGGCAAAGAGATTGCACCCCCCCACGCCACCCCCATGTAAAACAAACAAAAAACATCTTTATTTCCGTGCCAAATACTCAGAAATTCCAAGTGTCCAGATTAGAAGTCTGGGTGGAAGAGACATAGTAATGAAAATTCAAAAAGAGGATTTTTATTAATGAGGGATCAACAGTATATCTGTGACCAGGCTGTTATTACTCTGAGCTGACTAAAATACTAAGCACTTTGTCCTCCTCACAGCTGCAGATGTAATGAGAAGGGTTTTTGGACCGCCAAAGAGTGTGTCCTGGTATGGTCTGGCCTTGTATCACCGTTGTGTTAGGGATCTAAGGATAATCCAGGTTGGAAGGGACCTCAGCAAGGTGCAGGGACAGGTGTGAGAGAGTCCAGGTTGCTTCTCGTAGGGGGGGAAAAAGACAATTCAGGTTCCTGGGTAATCTTGGCATGATTGTGGCCTGCAGAACTTCTTGGTGTTAATCATCAGCAGTTTCTTCTTTCAGAAACGGACACTTTCTTTACTACCTTGTTTCCAATTTGGTGCCCTTTGATGTGTGACAGCACCCTTGGCTCCATGGTTCTTTTTTTGTAGCTGTTTACAGAGTGGAAGCATTTGGCAGCAGACACAAACCTCTTCAAACGGTCTGCTTCAGCCTTGTCACTTCTGATCGTTGAGAGCTGTAAATTGCATATAAATATCAGATTAATATTACGTTTCTATCTTCTTGTGTTTTGGAAAACGGCCCTGCCAGCCTATCAATCAGCCATTTATATCCTGTTATTCATCAAGTGATTTTCTCTCCCCCACCTGCCCTTTCAGTAAGCATTTTTCTGCTTGAGATATTTTAAATGTCAGGTTTTTCTCCCTTTCGGAGAGCAAATTTATTTTTGGTCGTGTCTCAGATTTTGAGGCTTACAAGGTTTGCATGCTTTAATTTAGCACTCATGGAAATATTTGCATCTTCTGTTAACTGCAGCTGCTCTGCATCGTGGAGCTGTGTGCCTTCAGTGTGGTGCTGATAACTGGGATAACACCCAGCGCTTAGAGTACAAACACTGAACAAGTGCAAGGTGGATTTTCGGCAATTAGTTAAGCACAGGTGGAGCCAAAATCAAATCCCACTGTACCCAGGAATGGTAGTAAGGAATTCTGGGTCTGTGCTGTACGCTTTAAGATCTGTGTAGACAAGTTTTGTGGCCCATTAGATTCGCTTAAGCATAAATCCACAGGCTCCACAGTGATAAATGAGTCAAATTTAGCTGTTGCTCTATTGCAGCAGAGAGCAGTCACACTCTCCCATTCATCTGTTTAATTAAAGTTATAGCATATGTTTTTAACTCAATACATAGAATTCTTAACATTCTTAGCAGTTAGTTAAAAATAGCAAATATAAAAAAATGTGAACCTAAGCTGAAAGACAGAGAAAAAGATAATCCTCATTATATTTATAT